TATCCCTAATTATCTATATCTATGTCTAAATATCAATCTGACTATGACTATACCATATATCTATCTATCTACCTGTATATACCTGTTTCTACATCAATATCTGCATCTATATCTATATCTATACCTATATAAATCTATATTTTTTAGCCATCTACCTATATTCAAACCTATCTATTTATCTAAACCAATCTATTTACTTAGCTATTTCTGTCTGCCATTTCCAAACCGTACGTTATCTATAGCAGTCTTTGCCTGCCTTGCTCGAAACTCATTTTCTTTCCAACCTGGTCTGAAATTGAGTCGTCCTAAGTGATGGTAAAAGATGCATATTCCTTCTCCCATTTTCCCGTCCCATCTGCATTATATTCTCTCTGCTTTGAAGCAATTTTCCTTTTTTTCTTATCTCCTCTCTTCCCCCACATTATCGATAGCCATCAAAGTCGATAACTAATAAGAGGGTAGAAAAACGCCCCGGCAATTGTTGGTAACTTCCCTAATCCATTATTTCCTTAAGCACCGCCGCTGGATGCATGGCCCATCTGCGTTTCCTCTCAGGATATAGCTCTGTCTGTGGGCGGTGTGAATCAACCGGTGCGCAGGATGAATTTTAGGAATCTAAGGGATTAAAATTTTAGCATAGAGTTGGCGCTTTGATCTATTGCAGACACACACACACACACACACACAAATACACTTACTCACACACACACACACACACACACCACACACACACACACACACCACACACACACACACACACACACACACACACACACACACACACACACACACACACACACACACACACACACACACAAAGCAAATGCGTGATCCAACGTGATCCGGACCTGACATTTCTCGCTCTGGAATTGCCAATTGACATTTCGATACTGCAGGCAATCCAGCTACAAGATGGTTCAGCGGCAATCAGTAGAAAAAATTCCTAAATTAATTTCGTGTTTCTCTATCACTGGAATTGGCGTTCGTTTCTGTCGTCAGGTCACCGGGCGCATATACTTTATTCATGACAAGGTTTAGCTGCCAAAGTAAAACAGAATTACCTTTTCGTTCCAGTGGTGAAGTAAATATGCTTCCCAAAATATGAGGGCCAACCACACTAACAACCTTTGGCTCAGTTAATAAATTTGGTACAGCGAGACGATGGAGATGTCTGTAATTAAGTAACTTTTCCCCCTTTACACACAGGTTATTCTTTAGATGTACAAGCGTGATTGTGATGCTTTTTGGATGCTTGGATAATCTTTAATATCTGTCTTAATGTCAACGCCCGGTCGATCTGCACTTTTGTTAACCTTTTTTTCTCTCGCTTCTTCTAGACATCCTCTTTCGTTTCCTCTCTTTCCTTCCTTCCCTCTCCCCTTTTCTCCCTCTCTTCTCTCCTTTTTTCACTCTCTCTCTTCTTTCCTCTTTTTTTCTCCGCCTTCCCTTCCTCTCTCATTTCTTTCTCTCTCTTATTTCTTCTCTTTCCGTCATACCCTCCCTTTCCCTCTCAGTCCCTTATTCAACCCTTCTCTCTCTTCCTCCTTCTTTCCCTTACTTTCTTCTTTCCCCTCTCTCTTCCTCCTTCCCACCGTCTTTCTTTTATTTTCTTTCTCCCTCCCCCTTCCTCCCTCTGTTCCTCCTTCGCTGCCTCCCTGCATCTACTCCTCCCTTCCTCTCTCCTCCTACCTCCTCCTTCCTCTCCCATCTTCCCTTCCTCCCTCTTTCCCTCCTACCTTTCCTCCGTCCCTAACTCTTCCTCTTCTTCCCTCCCTTCCTCCCTCTTCCTTCCTTCTCCTTCCCTCCTATGCCTCTCCCTCATTCTCTCATCCCCTGATCAATGCATTCCCATCTGCTCCTCAGGCTTCCTCACTCCTCCGACCAGACAAAGCCTGCGGGAAAAATGCTTTAAGCCTCGCCGGGCGGTTCGTGGGCGGAGGCTCCGGCGGGAGAGAGGCTTCGTGGTTAAAGCACCGGTGGGGGGGGGGGATGTTGAGGTATTTTAGACGCGGTGTTGCAGATTGCGATTTGTTTTGGGATGTGTGTGTTGGTCTGTGTGATTTGCATATATAATTGTGTGTGTGTTTATGTACGTGCAGATGCATGCACACACACATACACACACTCCCACGCTCACACGCACACACACACCAAACGCACACACACACACACACACACACACACACACACACACACACACACACACACACACACACACACACACACACACACACACACACACACACACACACACACACACACACACACACACACACACACACACACACACACATATATATATATATGTATATATATATATACACACACACACACACATATATATATATATATATATATATATATATATATATATATATATATATATATATATATATATATATATATATATATATATAAATATACACACACATAAACATTCACACGAACAAACACAAACATACATGCATACATACACACACACACACACACACACACACACACACACACACACACACACACACACACACACACACACACACACACACACATATATATATATATATATATATATATATATATATATATATATATATATATATACATATATATATATGTATATATATATATATATATATATATATATATATATATATATATATATATATATATATATATATACACACATACATACACATATGTACACATACGTCATTCGTACGTATATATGTATATAAGTACGTTTATAAGCTTGCATACATATATGTATACATGGAGATACACCCACACACACAGAGAGAAAGAGAGAGAGAGAGAGAGAGAGAGAGAGAGAGAGAGAGAGAGAGAGAGAGAGAGAGAGAGAGAGAGAGAGAGAGAGAGAGAGAGAGAGAGAGAGAGAGAGAGAGAGAGAGAGAGAGAGAGAGAGGAATAGATGATTACAGGTAATTCTGTTTTATCCCCGGTTTTATTTAAAGGCATCGGTTCCAGCAGCTGTTTCCATGGTCAACTGATACATTAAAAGTATTAAATAGTATTAAGAGACGAAAGTGAAGCTTTTTTTATTAATGAAAGCCGTTTCACCTGAATATTCTCGCGCATTATTTGGCGCCTCTGAGGTCAACGATTTTTTCATTATGCATCTTTTCTTTGTTATTATTTTGTTGTTGTTATTATCGTTTTCTTGTTATCATATTGTTCTCGTTATGATATACTTTGTCTTTATCTTTTTCTTGCTATTATCTTTTTATTGTTTTATCGTTTTTTATGTTGTTATCGTCTTGTTATTATCTTTTCATTGTTCTTGTTATTTTCTTTGTTTTATATCTTTATTGTTCTTATCGTTTTCTTGTACTTATCTTTTCCTTGCTCTTATCTCTTTCTAGATTTTTCAACTGTCTTCGATTTGTTTGCGAAGTTGTTGCCTCTCATTACCGTAGGAGTGACGTATCTTATCTATGGTGGCTTTAAAGAAAAAACAACAACACATTTTCATACACTTCGATGTCACTAAAATCTGTTGGGAATGAGATAGCAAAGTGTAAGTTTGAGAAGAGATTTTTTTAAATTGATTACGAGACTGAGTTCTCGGTTCTCTATGTTTTTTTTTTTTAATCTTTTCTTATTATTGAAGTTTTTTTTTCTTTTGGACGTACGTTTCATTCTATTTCTACTCCATTGTTCACAAGTCTTTCCGTTTCGAACTGATATTATCCTTTTTTGTTTACGCAAGACGGTGATTATAACGGCCTGATTTATCCAGCAATTAGACGACTCTGGAAATATCTAACCAGTATAATTGTCTGCTTCTCATTTATTTCCAAAATCCCAGTGCCTTTCTTTCGTATTTTAATGTTTTTTTTTTTTTCAAAATGTATCAACTGATCATAGAAATCACAGAAACCGACACCTTCAAATAAAACCGAAAATGAATCAGACTTACCTGTAATCAATGTCCTCAAAAACTAGTTGAATTTTTGACCTATGAAACTGCATCAACCTTGGGCCTTGCACTTTGAAGATTTAGTACGGTGAAAATAATGGCCAGCGTAAGGGTATGGAGGGAACCATTATTTTCTCCGGGCACCTTTTTTTTGCAATTACTCGTGATTAGGAGTATGAATTCTCACACTTCCAGCCAGAAAAATAACGAATAAATGAACGAATAAATTGTTGTAATATAAATCACTTGGGTAAGATCTGTTTCGTTCGAATTTTCATATTTTTTTCACTATGCTAAATACTGTCTATGCATTTTGATATAATTCCTTTATGGACTTGATTAGATAGTTTTTTTTTTTATAGAGTGTGAATGATACTCTGTAGTTTTTATGCCTATAATTCTTAGTGTGAAAATTTGCGACATTCTGACCTTTTAAATCAGTAAAAGATAGGGCACACCGTCAAGCTATCAAGAGTTAAATAAAAAGCACTTGGGGTTCTAAGATTACGGTATATGATATGATACACATGTACGTACACAAACTCATGCACACACTCACACACACACACACACACACACACACACACACACACACACACACACATACACACACACACACACACACACATACATACATACATAGTGTACGCGCACAAACACACACACACACACATGTTAATGCACTGGTTAGATAGTCTGCAATAAGGGTTGCGTAACCGTCAGTGAGTGATGGAAAATGGTACTTACAGGTAATCCCTCAAATGCTGTGCGTTGAGCATAAGAGAAAACGGAGTTAAAGGGGGGACTTAAAGTATTGTCGAAGCGGCTTATCCGTCAGACAAATACCAGGCAGGGCGGGAGGGGTGCCGGTATAGGGCCCGTCTTAGACAGCAGATATAGGTGCAATTTTTGTCAGAGGGGATGAAACTGTCGGCCATATCATAAAATATGCAGGCCTTGAGGAAAGCAAATATAGTGTGTTTAGTACGCAAGAGGCTTGGTACATAACCTAACTTCACGGAAGACTATTTGTGTGGTGGAACAACAAATAATATAAAATCATATGGTCAGAGTAAAGTTCAAATATAACTTGATTCTGAAAAAGGGTGTTAGTGCACTCACATACAGACAAATACACACTCCACAGGATTTTTTTTTATTATTCATAAATTTTCCTCTTCCTTGACATAACTTACTTGATAATTCTCCCTGACCACTCTGCTAGCAGTTCCATATCGTGCCCCAGTCATTCCAAGCCGCGTGCCAGTCAAAGCACACCGTTATCTTACTTAGCAGCGAAAGCTCTCCTGATCCTCCCTTTATGACCCGACTAAAACTCTTCTTAGGCCTCGGTATTTTTAATGCTAGCTTATTACAGTGATCTTCCGCGTCTCCCCAGGCCCAGGTCCGCGTGGTGGTGGCGAGTGTGGTGTGCTTGGTGCTGCTGGCTGCCGTGTGCGACGGAGCCTCCATCACCAGTATGTGCATCAGGTAATGGCGACTTCCTGGTGGATTACTTATGCACATATCTCTATCTCTATCTACCTATCTATTTATCTATATATGCGTGTTTGTTTGTCTGTTTACATTTGTTGCATGTGTAAATTTATATTGTTCTTAAAAGAGTAATGTTGGAAGACTATCCATACGATGACAGCAAGAATAATAAACAACTAGCCTTCATCTAATCGACTATTTATATGTGAATGCAATATTGTCTTACTTTCATTTTAAATATCTGGTGTAAACCGGTGCATTACGCAAATAAAATTAAGACTTGGTATTTTTTTTAATCATCAGAGAAAACTAGTTTGAGACTCACTGACCTTCCCGCATTTCCCTCCCTCAGGAACTGCGGGCAGTGCAAGGAAATGTACGGCGACTACTTCCACGGGCAGGCCTGCGCCGAGTCCTGCATCATGACGCAGGGCATGAGCATCCCCGACTGCAACAACCCCTCCACCTTCAATCGCTTCCTCAAGAGGTTCATCTAAGGAAGCACCTTAATAAATCTCGAGTC